GGCACACCATAATAGAGATCAACCTCGGGTACCCCCAAATCCAGTTTTCTCACCGGTTTTAGGTCACTTATTTTTCATCCCTTGGCTTTTATTTACAACAAAAAAGAAGACATTTGCAAAAAAGTGTGGTACCTATTACGTCTCAAATCTGTGGGGGCATCGCCCCCACGGCCCCAGAGTTGGGAGGGCAAGCTTCCCCCACTGCCCCCCCCCCCCGGCCCCCGCGCCTATGGATAGGGCCCATGAACGGTGATCTATATACCTACTCTGGCCTGAACTACCTAGTACCTACCGAAGCACGCAGGGTCGCCGCCCGTTCCATATGCTTGCTGGTCGTTGGGAGTTTTCAGCATAGGCGCGGGAGCCGGGGGGGCAGTGGGGGCAGCTTGCCCCCCCCCCCAACTCTGGGGCCGTGGGGGCGGTGCCCCCACAGCTTTGAGACGGAATACCACACTTTGTTTGCAAATGTTTTCTTTTTTTTTGTTAAAAAGGCCGAGGGGTGAAAAATAAGTGGCCTAAAACCGGTGAGAAAACTAGATTTGGGGGTACAGGGACCCGCAGTTGCTTCTGTACACACTAGTATTTCAGCGTATTCTTGGCCTGTGACACCGTTGGAGGCGAATTGGGAAATGATTGTGTGCTTATTAAAACCACCATCTGACGGGCTTTAAACTGATGTGCTGCTCTCCTAATTCAGTGAACTTTTTATGGCTGTATCAGCAAAACATTGTTTTCAGCGCTTTTTCCTGCCCCATTCCTTCTGAAACCTGGAACCGCTTATTCCATTCACTCCTGCCATCTGACGATGGTCGTGCTGATTACTAGTTCCAGCGCTAGTTACTGCTCCAGTTTTGCACCCGGCACAAACTCAGGCGGCACCGGGCCGTGGCTCGACCAGTGAGGGTCGGACCGAGCCGACTGCCTGGGGCGCGGTTAGATCGGACGCCCTGCTGGGGAAGGGGACGGGAGTGAGGGGGAGGGGAGGAGGTGGTCACGTGGTCCGTCCAAGCTCGCAGACAACCTGTCCCGCGCCCAGCCATGTTCCGTGATCCAAAATGGCACTAGAGGGCTGTGGAATGCCTGGAGGAGACGCTTCGAAAGCGAACTTCAGCAGCACTAATTGAACATATTCTGTGGAGATAAATGAATATTATCTTAATGCAGAAAAAAATTATGCCTAAGCTGTATAAGCTGTATCTTTTTAAAAGCTGTAAATAGAATTATTTTTAGGGACTTATAGGTTTCGTATACACACTGAAGTGTTACATTAAGCCGTTTCACTCTTATGGTTTGATAACTGAAGAGTTATCCTTTTTTCTCGCAGGGAATGACAAGACAATAACAATACGAATAAAACCAGACGTTTCGCACAAAAAAGTGCCTCCGTCAGTGGCGAGAAATAAGTAACTAGGCATAGATGTTTTCTTTCGATAAAATCGATGATGTAGTAATCTTTATTTTTTAAATATATATTTTCAACAGTTTTTTAAGCACATCATGGAAGCTTATAAACATTTGTGTATTTTATCGGCAACCCGGCTGGCCAGACCGAGACGGTGCCGCATATAGTTCTCATCGATGTTAAAACTGAAACAGACTCTTTCCGCAGTCAGGAAATCGCATGCGAGAGCCTATTCAAATGCATGGAAGCACGCTCGCCTCAATCGCACGCAATCGCAAGCGATTGATGCGAGAAGAATTATAATGTATTTGAATAGGCTCTCGCATGCGATTTCCTGAACGCGGAAAGAGTCTGTTTCAGCCTTTAAACCTACACTTATTTTTCTTCACTGACGAACGCATGTTGTTGTCCGAAACGTTTGGTTTTATTCGCTTTGTTTTTATATTGTCATTGTCCGTGAGAAAAACATACTCATATGGACTGGTCTCAGTCCATGTAGAAATTGTCGCACATTCATCAACATGGATAAAATGAATATTAACCCTCACCACACATATACCTAAGTAGAGGTAAGTAGCCCCCTGTTTTTCACCAATAAATCGCGGCAAAGCGAAGGATTGCGACGATTCTTTGGTGCCCTGGAGGTAATCAATTTTACAACTTCCCGGAAAATTAAATAGCCCTTATAATTTTTGCATCTTCTCCGAGAATTTTAAATCCCTGAACCAAATTACCTTTGACCTGTGATTATTTTTCTCAAGATCATGTCAGGCTAGAATAGCAATTGAAAGTCAGCGCACATCTTCTGTGTGTTTCCATAGTCGTTTCATGATTAGGGACGTGACAACATGTGATTGTGAAATATACTATCTAATGTTTGTCTCATTGATTGTTGTGGGTGCCACGGTCACGTGAAACTCAGGTTAAGGTCATTTACTTGAAATGATCTCGGCTAACTTCCTTAAATTTACACCTTTTTACTGTGGTTTTTAGGAAGTGTTGGTTTGAAATTTAGCACCCATTTTAGCATATGAAAACTAGGCATACTTAGGTATCAGTTATAGTGCCTATGCAACATGTTGCAAGGCTGTCAGAGCTGGTTAACATTCTATGGATGGCCGGCGGAACGCCTAATGGGTGATCTGGCGTGACCCGTCCTACCCCAAATGCTTTGATACATCATCTTTGATCAAAGCAAGTGCAAATTCGGAGTCAGAAGCAAGCCAAGTCCCAGCAAACTTCACTTGTAGAAATTCTAGCAGGACCCAATTTTCCGTGCGTTTGGGTTATATACCTGATCTGGGAGGTCAACCAATGACCTAGGATCTCAACATTGATCAGGACATAAAATAATTGGCTTTCTCTCGTCAGCGATGACCAGGACCCTAAAAACATTGGATTTCTCTCGTCACGAGCAGCACGCTCTTTTTTCTTTCTTTTTTTTTTCTTTTTCAGCGAAGATCTGGCTCTTTTATCAAGGGCCGAATGGCTGAGGGCTTCTACGCCCCTCCGTTACATGTAAGACGCTGAAAAAATGCCTTAATGGGTGAGGATTTAATATCGATTGGTTTTTAATTGCCAAAGCCGAAGGCTTAAATTTACTTCGATAGCAGTTTTTAAGACCAACGAGCTCGAATGCTATGACTTCTTGAACAATGTAAGCATCACATAAAATGAATCGTGAGAGAAGCGGCTCAAGATTGAGGAGCTATGAGACACTTAATAACTTAACTTGCACTGGTTTTTAAACCTTTCCGTTGCAGACTGGTAGATCAAATTTTAGGATTGATTTCAGCTGCTGCTGAAATGATGTAAAGCTATTCATTCGTTCATTCATGCGACCATCCATTCATAAAAAGGCCAGTGATAAAAATTTTCATTTTAGATAAGTGTGAAATACAAACTCAATAAAAGTTTAATGATACGGTAAATTTGACAGCTTTTATAATAAATAGACAAATCATCACAGTATTTGTCAACAATTGCTGTTGGGGGGGACTGGGGAGGGTGGTTGCTGGCTCATAACCTGTCACCCCCCCCCCCCTCCAAAAAAAAACGAAATCGATCATCCGCGAAAAGAAGAGCTCAAACCGAGGTGACGAATCGATTTATATGGTATGCAGGATGACTAACGATGCCACTTTTGGACTTGTTGTGTCATAAATTCCATCATCTGGATAGCACGTCAACATTCTATTTGATATTTTGCAACAAACGTATACTATTTGGCGCGACTAGCCTCAGAAATGTTCTGAAACTAAAACCGTTTCTTTGCAATTAACTTGGCCCACGTCACCCCAGCTTATGCACGACAAAAATAAAATAATGCTTCAGGATCACTGGCCTGAATTCCAATGCTTAAGGTTTACTCAAAACCGGTGTGGCTGAGGCACTTCGCTACATCTCGTGACGGCCTTGTGTTGCATTTTTTCGGTAAGCTATAACTTAATAAGGAAAGGATTGATGAGTGGGTTGAAAACAGCCCTCACCCTCCACCCCCTTCTTCTGGAAACATAAGTAACCGAAAGATCTGGCGATGGTTTATCCACCTCGTCTGCCACCGCGCTGCGAGGCCTCGATTCGTTCGGCCGTGTGGATTCCTGAGCGGTCCTCCCCGGAGGCAAGGTGAAAGGTCATGGCCTGTATCAGAAATTTATACGTTCCTGAATATGCATTACAGTTCTTCCAAGGCCTTGGACACCGTTTTATTATATCGGATAAGCATTGCACTTTCTTGTCAATCAATACATTTAAAGAAAACCTTATCATAATTTCATACTGCGGCAATTGTAGTTCTGCTTACGGTTGCCTCTTTATGATACGGGCCACCACCACCTCCACTGCACTGGAGCTCTGGCGTTCTACCCCTCCCCGCTACGGACCGGCCCTCGGGCTAGGTGTGTTAGTACTGAGCGCAAACGTGTAGTAGTCACGTGACTTTCATTCACGTAGCGGGAACGGAAGCTATAGGCGATACCACGGACGGGCTCTGGGGAGGCAACCGGCACAGAAAAATAGCACGATTGTAGTTTTGAAAGAATATCTGTTGCCGTAAGAGGAATTATACAAAACATACGTCCTAGGAGCAAACATGTGGTATTCCTCCATACTTTGCGCTACATTTCTTTTCTCCAATGGCCAACACTTAGCAAATAATAGCACAATTCTAAATTGGTAATATATGTGTACAGTAGCAACTGCGGGTCCCTGTACCCTAGGTTAATCTCTATTATGGTGTGCCCCCCAGTCGGATCGGAAAGTAGTTCCCGCGCCCCTGGTTTTCAGCAACCGAGAGGGCCCCGAAGGCCTGACAGAGGCTTCCCGAGTAAGCCAAGGTTCGATTATGGTGTTTACCTACTACCTACTAGCTCCTACTCCGTCACAAGTTGAGAGGGAGCTATACCTAATACTGGACATCGATACTCATTACTCATCCATGCTACCGGTGCGCGTATCTTAAAACTTGACTGTATTGTGCTGCCACCTAGCAACTACTAATTTCTTCATGGAACACTTGAGGCGCTCACACCATCTAATGTTTATCTTGATCGGTGACAGATCTGACGCTCTCTAGACATATGTGAAACAAAAATATTTTATCCCTATCAATATCAATATAGATCAAGATATGTTACAATTATTAATTAAACTGTTTTACTTTATACAATGGCAATGAAACTGGACGGCAGTACATTGAAGAAAATAGGGTTTCTAACGACGGTTTTGCTGTCATGCCATTTTCTTCCAATGATTCTCAATAAGCAGGACAGAAATGCAAGAGCAAAGGCAAGAAGTGCATCAGCATAGTTAGATATTGCAAATTTGAATTTTTTAGAGGTGGGTATCGGAAGAGTATCTAGGGCATTAAGAATTGGTTACTGCAAAAAGAGAATATGTTGTTGGCCCAACTCTGTCAATTGTCACCTTTATTGCTGTAAAGCTCATTTTGTAGCCCTGTGTCAGTGTATGAAATGAAATAAATGAATCTTGTCAGACCCTACCACAACCAGTTGGATGGGGAGCATTCTGGTCTAGGGCTTAGGGGTATGCAGTAAATTCATTGCCTCCAGATTTGGTGGCCATGCAGGGGAAGTTGTAGCCATGTTGCGTCAGAAGGTTGTGATGAAGTGATGTGATGAAGGTTCTGATGAAGGACCTGAGGGCTTGTATTTGGAGTATCCCAACACAAATTGGGAAACTTAAATAATATTATTTCAAATTATGTAGCTTGCAAATTATTAGGGTCCATAGGCAAATTACTTTTTTAGTTTCTTCTATTTACTTTTGGATAATTCAGTGATGTGTACGCTTCTATGAGCTCTGAGGGCACCTCTTCCGCCTCTCCTATGTTTTAGGGCCTTGGCCTATCCCGAATGGCCACTCCAAGTCCAGATTCAGCCATCCAGGTTCAATTCCTGGCCAATGCACATAGCATTGCCAGTTGCCACTACCTGGCTGCTTGGAGCAGCATGAGAGTCCTGGTTATCACTTGATCCACTGGTTAGGTTATGGTGCTTGATCCAAATTGCATTGCTTCCAGTTGGACATTGATAAAAATGTTTAATACATATTTTGATCTATTTTGATGGACCACTGACACGACTAGCCCTTTTTCCCACTTATTGGGTCTCATATATGCATGTATACACCTGACCTTCATTAACAATATGCACATATTTGAAACTGCTTCAAATTTCAATCTCAATGCACTCTGGGCCTTTTTACTTTTGATAAAGTTGAAGTCTGTGACAGTTTTGGAGCTGTCTTTAAATGAACAACAAATGGTATTTTAATCAAATGCATTGTCTTCTTTCCCTTAAAGCAGTATATTAAGCATATAAGCATTATTAAATGTAAGTTCTTGGCAACAAGTGTTTTTCAAATGATGAAGTATGTAAGAATGCAAATGCAAGCAAAACTTACCAAAATCAGCTAGAAAGTTTTCAAGTGAAATTTGACAAAAAAGGTTGGGATCAAATGTTATGCATCAGAGTGTGTACAAGGCTACATAAACTGGCCTGTAGGTGACAATGACAATCTAGTTATTTTCAGACACTTCTGGCTGACACATTTCTATAACTTGTTATTTAGGAGTTAATTTTCATTCTAATTCTACTTCATCTTCAGCTCATATTGATTCATTTTACATCGAAATTGGATGTTGTGGGAGGGTGACCTTTCCATTTTCAAAGGTCACTAAAATGATAGGAACACAAGATAAAATTGAACAAAACCATTTATTTGCTTTTTGCCGTTTCAATGCAGTGAAACCAGTCATAAGATGCATTTAAATTATTGGCTGGCCCTCATAAATGATGAAAAGTAGGTACTGTATTTGACATGAGCATAAGGCTCTGAACATTTTTATCCGTCTCTTTTCCTATTTATTTATTACGTACTTATTTAACCCTCGCATGTGTAGGGGGGGTCGGATGGACCCCCCATGGTTTTTCGCGAATAACTCGCGTAAAAAGCGGCCGATCGCGACGAAACTTTCAGTACCCTCACATCGATCAATTTTACACCTACCCTGAAAATTTCATGACCCTGACCCAAATGACCTTTGACCTGTGACCTCTTTTCCGAGACCATGCTTGGCCGGAATCGCGATTCTGCGTATGTCGGCTCGCATTAGCCGCGCGTTTGCAAGCTTTTCGTGGTTTCAAACGTTCAAACATGTGATTTGATGTTGCTTCCATGCATTAGGGTGGGTGTCAAGGTCACCTGAAGGTCAGGTCAGGTCATTGACCTTTGGTGACCTCGGGTGACCTCGGTTCACTTTTTCGAGCTGTACATGTTTCTAGGCTAGTTTTTGGAGCTGAATTCGAATTTAGCAACCATTTGAACATTTACGAAGTAGTTTTGGTGCCTTCGTAACATGTTACGAAGCTGTCAGAGGCGGTTGACACGTACTACGAATACCCGTCACGATGCCTACTGGTTGACCTGACCTGACCTGACCCGACCTGGTCTAAATGCTTAAAGACATCATTTGTGATCAAAACCAACACGATATTCGTGATCAGCACCCCGAAAAACCCCTTAGCAGCCACACTTTACGACTTTCTAACAGGTCCCGATTTTCCCGATTTTGGGTCATTGACCTGACCTGGAAGGTCACCCAATGACCTAGGACCTTAAAATTGGGTATCATCGGCTTCCTCTCGTCACGGGCAACACGCTCGTTTTTTCCGCGAAGCTCTAGCTCGATGAGGGGCCAAACGGCAAGGGGGGGTCCAACCGACCCCCCCTCCCTACACATTAGAAGCTGGCAAACGCCGCACACATGCGAGGGTTAACATTATCTGCTATCACTCTAATCACTTAAATCTGTCACTCAAATGAACGAATGAACCCAAATGAATCTTAAAAACAAACAATTCGTGTAATTGTGATAAATACTTTAAGGTACCCAAACCTGTATGTATGTATGTATGTATTGACGATCAAGAGCAATCCACAATCGGCGTGGCGATTACACTCCTCCAACAGTGTGCACTTTTAATTCACTTGTCCAAGGAAAGGAAGTTCAATAAATTGATAGGTTCCTAAATGTGACTAAAAAAAAAACGCATGTTCAAGATGATGATTCAAGTTTCCAATATATAAGGGCTTCTACCTGAAACGTACTATTCTTCCCATAATAAATTTTCCATTCTCATCTTCTGCTGTTCAATGACAAGGCTGTCCACCACACACCATTCAGCTAAAAAAGTGAATCATGGAACATGTATTTTAACACCAAATATGAATGGCATGACAAACTGTCTTCAGTGCATGGTGAAGTTGCTGACCAAATATTGAGTATGCCAAATGAGTTGTCACACTATCACACAGCCTGACAGGCGCCCAACTCTGAAATCTGAATTACAACTTTTTCAGCATGGGCATAATTGTGCATGGAACTGCTAGCATTTGGCCTTCAGTGGCCCACAGCACAGTCACAATCTCAAGTTGATCCAACTATTCTGCCAATGCTCATGATCATAATCACTTCTACGCATGAGTACCTAGATGTGCCCCAGCCCCCAAGACCATAACATAACATTGGGAAATTATTTGAAGCAGCAATAAGCAAGGTAGGTAAGCTCAAGTATTTTTCAGTAGCATGATGTTCACATTTCATCATATATTGCTGTAGCAGAGCAGGCACAGTTTTAACTGACCATTGACCAGCAGTCTAATGAAGCCAGTCAACCATTGAGTTCAACACTTATGACCTTCAATGACAGATCTGGTTTTGAAAACTGTGGAATGAAACTGGCACAGTCTAGAGCTCATCTTTGGCAGCAGGCTTCATGTTGGACTTGAGGAAATTGGCCATGTCATCCAGTGATCTGTTTCCCTCATACTCTGTGACTTTGTCTCCATCATGGTACAGGAAGATTGTCGGGAATCCTGAAACACCCTCTTTGGAGCAGAGAGGCCTGTTGTCGTTCTCAGTGCAGTCAACCTTGGCAACCTTGATTGAGGGGTTGGACACCATCTTCACTGCTAGCTGATCCCATGTAGGTGCAAGACGCTTGCAGTGGCCACACCATGGAGCATAGAACTTGATGAAGGTGTAATCACGGCTGATGCTGTTCTCAAAGGTATCAGCCATCAGAACTACCACTGGGGCCTTTCCTTTCTCTTCAGTTTCCTTCTCCTCAGTTTTTGGCTCTTCTTCAGAACCAGCACCAGTCATCTTGGTGATGAACTTCTTCAGGTCCTCTGAAGAGCGATCCCCCTGATACTTTGCGACTTTCTTTCCATCCTGGATCCAAAGAAGTGTAGGGTATCCCTTGACCTCATACTCAGAGCAAGTATCCCTGTTGGTGGTACAATCAATCTTTGCAATGTTGACAGACTTGTCATCAGCAAGAGATTCAGCCAGTTTCTCCCAAGTGGGGGCAAGTTTCTGACAATGACCACACCAAGGAGCGTAGAACTTGACGAAGTAGCTGCCGCTCTCAGTGGCCTTCTTGAATGTCTTCCCAGTTAGCTCGGTCAGACCTTTCACAGGCTCTGGCACCTCAGCGGATTCCTCATCCTCATCCTCGTCAGACTCCTGACCCAGTTGTTCTTTGATGAACTTTTCCAGAGATGGCAGATCTCTAGCACCCTTGTACTTCACGGGTTCACCACCATCCTTGCTGAAGAATTTTAGAGTGGGATATCCTGTGACTTCATTATCTGAGCAAACCGAGGAGTCAGTGGTGCAATCTACCCTTGCTATGGTGACTTCTGAGTCATCAGTGTTGTACTTCTTGCTCAGCTCCTCCCACGTAGGTTCCAGTCGTTTGCAGTGGCCACACCAAGGGGCAAAAAACTTAACAAAATGATTGTTTTCCTTCACTTTGCTTTCAAAGTCAGTCGAGACGTATTGCTTTGTCGAGACCTCAGCTTCTTCGGCGAAACAGCGTACGTAAATACAGATAAGTGATAACAAAACTATCTTCATCGTGATTATTCTAATGTTGATGTGCACTTTTGTGTAGCAAAATACTTGAGTAAGTTCAACCTCCACTACCACTGAACACCGGCAACAAAGGGTCTGTTCCAGCGCCTCCAGAAACCTCCAGAAAGCTCCAGAAAGCTCTAGAAACCTCCAGAGAGCGTTCCAGCGCCTCCAGAAAGCTCCAGAAAGCTCTCGCCAAAGCTCCAGAAACCTCCAGTAGCCTCCAGAGAGTTGGGAGGTCCAAATTTCTCTGGAGGCTCTGGTCTACAATTATGGCGCACATGTGACAATCACGAATGTAAACAAAGGACTTTTGACTGATTAATTTACAACTTGAATGTAAAGAAAATTACATTGCTATAATTTTGTTAATCTTTCTTAATAAAATTGAAAACAAATTTTGTGTTTCAAGAGAGAACAATCGTCATTCTTTTGGTATATGTGATGCCAATCTCCAGAAATCTCCAGATTGCGTTCCAGCGCCTCCAGTAAAACCTCTGGTAGAGCCTCCAGTCAAGAATTTCTACTGGAGGCGCTGGAACAGGCCCAAAGTGAACGAGCGCTGACACGATTTGGTAGCCGAGGTCTGTGACGTCAGCCGGGCGTGAAGTTTTCCCTTCACCATAGGCTTAACACACAAACTGGCTGAAGTTCATGCCAGGATAGCCCGGCCTGAAAGTGCAAAAATGATTAAATTTTGCCCTCGTTAGCTTCGCTGCTTCATTTCATAACTAAAAACGTCAGTTATTAGGCCTCAATGAAGGTACAAAGTACTCAAAATCGAAGTTCAAGAAGATGCTGTCCGAGCACAATTTGGTAACATCACGTGACCTCTTTTCAACAGATTGTATATATTTTAGGAATATAATTACACGATTGCTGCCTAAGACATCATAAATAATACACGTGTAACATTTATTACTAAAGTTTTAGTCATAACATTGCAAAACGCAAAGTTTATCATGGCAGTCACATGACCAAAGGTATAGCAGGGGGTTGGGACAAACACTCACAGGATTTCAAGTTTTGTAATTAATTTATATAAGTTTCATGATGAAATTGAAAGATTGTATTTTTTCCTAATAGAACACAAATTTTCGTTTGTAAAATATTTTTCTTATAGGCGAAATTCTCCATTTAAGAAACGTCTGTGACGTCACCAGGGCTTTACTGTGGCTTTACTCAAAACATCGGACCTACCTGTTTCTTATAGGTATCTTGGCGCTATCAGTATCAACGCGCTACAGAGGCCGGCTCCGCCTTCGACAATCTCGGCGCATACACAACACGTCACAGAACTATAAGGAAGTCAGATACTTTTTTGGATCAAATATTTTCAAAGTCTTCATTGCTTTTGAACAATTATTTAATGGTAAAATATAATGGAAATAATACAGCAAAAAATATGCGATACCAAAAGTTGTAGCCTTCATAATTTATGTTCTCATTTATTTACGGTACTTGCCTGCTAATAGTGCTGGGCCAGTACAGAGCCGCAACTTATCTGGCTGATCAGGTCCAACCAACAGTGTTTGCATGCCCGACTTCAGCATGCAAACTTTGCATGCTGAAGTAGGTTGTTATCGGGTATGCACTATGCATCGCAATGTGTATTGCGCCACGTATATTGTACGTGATGTATCGTGTTGTATCAATCTCCCTTTTTACAAATACAATGGTGTGGGAATGGGATTGATGTATCATGTATAGTCACGTTCTGTTCAGTGTTCAGAATAGGAAATTGTATTTGGCGTTGATAGCCGTCTTGTGGGGACTTTCAGAAAACACTGTAGTCTGTAGGTAAAGTATCACTCACCTTTTGCGACTTCAACCAAAGCTCTCTGTGATTGTGACGAAATTATTTCACCTATTTTTTTAAAGCCAGTTTTGCCGCCAGATAAATCTCTGGATGTGGGTTATTATATTATCAGCCAGACTCCTTGTATTCACGCCATTTTTTTGCGTGGTTGTCGAAAGTTGTGGGTAACTCACACGCCTCCAAATAACCGCAACCGCCTATTTTTCCGTTGGTAACAATGGCTACCGATCAAACGTGTGCTCTTACTTCCTGCCCCCGTGCTTATTATTGCGACAGGAAGGATGGGTGTGATTCAGTCCCAGATAGGGATATCAACTAGGGCAGGGTCGATAGCCTTTTTTGTGCGTGGACCGGATGAAACCGACAGGAAGCGTTCGGTGGGACGGGCGAACCATGTGGTAAACAGCTTCAACGGCCGTACAATTACAGCTCGTACAATGTACCGCAATGAGACGCAATATTTAGAAACCAAGCATAGCATCAAATGTGCTGCTTACTTAGAATAAATCATATGTGTTACGATGTATCATTCAATAGTTTGGACAGACTTGGTCAGTAGAAGCCAGTTTCAAATTTTGCAGACGCTAGCGGCAAAGTGGACGTCAGACAGTCCCGGGTGTCATCTGTCCTGCAGACCGGAGGCTATCTACCCCTGAACTAGCGCAGCTCACTCATGCGTCAACCTAACTTGATTTGGTCGGTCGGTGTGATTATGCGTGCGCTAACTACATTATGTCGAGTAAGACCAATCGATAATTACCTTTCTGCTTAGCAGTTCCGGAACACTTTTTACATTTTATACGAGACCCTATGTTTCCTACATTTTAGGATCACAATTGTTCTAGTTTGCCTCACCGTCTGTCTGTGCCGATTTTCAGTTGGGCAGCTGACGGTCGGGTCACGATGGGAGCCTTCCCGTGCCCGCTGTGTGGCCGCAGCTTCGCATCCAAACACTACCTGAATCAGCACGTGCTGGCTCACTCAGGAGGTGAGAAATCTTTCCTCTCTCCACTCTCCTCACTTTCCACAGGAGTTGAACTTAAGAGCTGCCACTGGGGATTGCTATTTTTTATTTGCCAGATGATACAAATTCATATTGTCCAGTTTATTCATTTTTATCACATTGCTTCTATCTTGTGTCTGGTGTCTTCTGGTAGCATCTGGTGGCGATGTAGCTGGATGTCTTGAATATTCACTGTGTAAGGTCGTAGTACCCCACAGTATGTCAAAATGACACCCACAGTCCCCCCCCCCCCCCCAGCTACGCGTGAGCTGTGTCTGCCTCCAACTCCCTAAATCCTAACCGTAACGCTACACTGTCTACCGTGACTCTAACACTAACCTCACTCCCCTGCTCCGTCAGAAGGCGGCCGGTTCCGCTGCCAGCAGTGTGACAAGTCGTACCTCATCGTCTCCCACCTGGCCGACCACATGAGCTCCCACTCAACCACCTACGACCACCTGTGTGACGTGTGCGGACGCCGCTTCAAGCACAGGAAGCAGCTAAGGGTGCACGCCGTCCTGCATAAGGGTTAGTATAACTTCCCGGCTAGTAAGGCAGATCCTTCAGCTCTTGGCTGGTGTGTGCGTTATTATACGTTTGGCTCTTCTGAAAACGCTCAGCTGGGTCAATGCATAGGAATTTGGACTTACGTATTAGTGAATAATAAGAGGTGACAAAGCCATCGTATCAAGTAGGTAGTCGTACTGCCTACTTCGGATAACGAAAATGAGTGATGCATTGTCTCATAGTTTGTGGAAATGTGGCACCGACTCGTCTATGTTGAGCCATCACATTTTGTTCATTGACTTTATTTGCATATGTCTCGCTTTTATTTCATCTGTTTTTATTTATCGATGCTATTTCACAATTTACCTTGCCTGGCCCTGGTGCTGTTGAGCACAGCAAACGAGTACTTTCATTGAACTGTTCCCTTTCTCCCGACAGGTATAAAGCCGTACCGTTGCGACCAGTGCAGCTACTCGGCCTCCTTCCTCTCAGGGCTGGCTCGTCACAAGAAGACCCACGCGGCGCCCGATCAGCGACCTCACCCGTGCCCCGAGTGTCCGCTACGCTTCCTCACGCGTCAGAACCTCCAGAGTCACCGGCGGCGGCGGCACCGGCGTCACTCTGCCACACTGCTCCTGGCGCTCGCCGCCCCCGCCCCCGCCCCCGCCCCCGCCGAGGAGACGAGGACGGAGGACGGTCCTCCGGCGGGGGAGGACAGTGAGATTGAGGACGATCCTGTGAGGTCCCCGACGGATGGAGACGCGGATGGGGCGGAGCTGGAGACGGATAGGTGAGAAATGGGGAAGGGATGGGGATGGGGTAGGCCAGGTCAGGGATGAGGGTGGGAGAGGTGTGGGACAGACCAGGGATAATGGGGGGAGGGGGGGTCTGTGATTTAATGTTTGGTTGAGGTGAGAAATTATATATCCGGGATTACCAGGGTTTACGTGCATGTATGTAGCTCAGGTAAGCGATCCCGCAGCTCATTTTGTTGTGTTGCTCGCGAGGCAGGAACCTAGAAACTGATCATGCATTGACACTGATTACCCTAAATTTGATGAGCGCCGTCTTTTAATCAATTTTAATTAGCTAACCTACCCCCTTCTTCCACAGTCAATCGACCGACACCACCGACCAGCACAGCTCGTCCGGGTTCGACCTATCACTCCCTCCCGGTCTGGCGCGTCACGACGCCTTCCTGGAGGATGACGACACCACGAGCGGCTGCCGTCTGCTCGACAACGTCACTCTAACGTCGGCCGCCGGCCGCGAGGACGCCGACGCCGGCGGACAGCTGCTGGCGGCGCGACCCGACTCTCCCCCGGCCGGCGCGCCGTCCCTGGCAGACCAGCTGTTCGCTGAGGCGGCGGCGGGGGTACTGGACGGTACGGATCCCGGCGCGATGGTTCTGGACGAACGAGTGCCCATGGTAGGTGTGGAAATGGAGCTTAATGATCAGTAGTGGGGAGTGGGTGGAGGTGGGAGGGGTCGGTAGGATGGTGGTTCATACTTCATTGTGCAGGGATTGTGATTTGCTTGTATACCAGTCCCGATCTTTAGCTATGGTGTGTTTTAGAGATGAAACGCTGTAGTGCAGCTGATGTTTGCTGTTTTGATGTAATTTTTGTGATCTGGAGTTCTTTTCGGTAGTCATGACATGCAGCTGTTATTGTATCTACAAAGTGGCGTTGTTTTACTGCCACAATTCACTGCAGGCTGCCTTTAGCTGATTAACAGTTTTATTGCTAGGATTGTACTTTTAGTGCCATCGACTCCATAGATAGGCTATCTTCTGCGACAGATACCGGCTGGTGGAATGTCTAATATCTTGCATGACTACAGGTATCGTGCCATATTAGTCGGCTGCTTTAGTCGTCTTTATTGGGCAGGTGGGCCATTTTGAGCCAGCTGCTTATATTGTCGTGCGACGAGCGATGTGACGCCAGTGTGACCTGCAGTTCTGATCTGCGTGATTTTCAGCAAGTAGAGTCTTCTATCGAGCAGCTTACCTGCGACATACCCAAATGGTACCCCTTCTCGAATGCAGGTACTGCTCGCTCCTTTATATACAAACTTCCACTTCTTTACTGTGCCATACCTATTGCGCATGACTATTTGATTGCTGAAGGGCCAGATTTTTGTGTCCCTTAGGTCCTTAGTTCTTTATCTGACTGGATTTTGGTGGGCGTTTGCCGAGGATGGCTGCAATATTTTAACTCATTGATAACATTTTAGTAGATTGCCTTGTGTTTGCGTATGTCCATGACAGCTGTACCGTTTGTTGAGATCAACAACAATCTGTGTTGTACCAAATAGTGCAGCTATAAGTTGGGCCGGGGGTTTACGATTTCGGGAGGGATACTACGATAGGAACGTTGTCTTCCTGTGGGTCGGGATGGCACGAAGTGTTATACTACATAGAATCGGAGGTAACCCAAAGTCCAGTGTTCCGTCAAACCACCGTTTGAATCGAGGTCCCCTGAACAAAGCTTTGATTTTCGTCATCATCGTTATGGCACATGTCAAAAATGTGAAATGATTGCTGAATATAAATATATTTACAAACAGTTGTGCAACATACAGCGTGTAATATAACAATGACCGGCTTCAAATCCACAGCAGTATTCCTTTTGAAGGATGTCTGGTTGTCCAACTGTATTCAATTACTAAGAGCACTACCATCGGGAACTGGGAATACTGACAGGTCTCCATCGGTCATCTTCGGGCCACATAACTCACCACGCACCCCTGACAACGTACCTTAGTAAATGGCAACGCTCAACTGGGCCGTACAGCTCAATGTCTGACCGTGCCTGTGGTCCTAACAGCTACTGACCGCTCTTCCTGGTGATGTGAGGTCTACACGACGCTGTGACTACGAGTCGCCACCGCCAGCAGCAGCGTCGCCGGTCGGTGACGAGGTTCCGTACTCGGGTCCCACTCTGGTGAGGGCGGCTCCGGTATCCATCCCGTCTCCGACCCTTCCGCAGCTGCCGTCGTGTCTCCCAGAGTCTCCGGTGTGCCCTCGAAGACACTCTCGAGTGTCTCGCTGGTACCTCTGAGTGTTTCCGTGGTGTCGGCGAGTGTCTCAGTACCCTCCAGAGCTATTGTGATGGTGTCACCCGTGTTTCCAGCTTCTCCAAGAGTCCCGACCGAGTCAGCAAGATTGTCTTCCGTGTCTGCCAAAACTCCGGCAGTTTCGTACCGAATCGGGATGCTGTCCTCATTGGCAACTGCGCTGTCTTCCAGAGGCTGAAGTCCAGAGATGTGCATTGTGTCATCCTGCTCCTGATTTCCGTTTTTACACCGCTCCTGGTTCCTATCTTGCTCATGGTTCCCATTTCGATTCTGTTCCTGTATCCCATTGAGCTCCCAGTTCTTGCCTTTGTCGTCGGTCCTGTGCCGTTTCCGTCCCGTGCCCTGGTCCTGTACGCTACGACCCGGCCCGCCCGTGTGCAGTTCGGCGGCCGTCAGAGGTCGACGGAGCAGCCTCTCCAGAGCTCTCCGGCTCACCAAGATCAGCTCAGAGCCCTCCCTCTTCGGCTCTGTTGGTCCTCCCGCTCCCCGTGCGCCCGGTCTGCCGCCCTTCCTCGTAGTAGACACCTTGCTCGCCGCCGATCTTGGCGCCGCCGGTGCCACCGCGCCCTTCGTTGTCTGTTCGTCGCTGTCGGTAATGTGACTCGGAGCGTAGGCAGACTGGTAGTCGGTGTCGACGGAGCCATGCGATGGCCCGGGTGGAGCAGAGGCCGCCGGTGCCAGCGCGGCGCGGGGCAGAGGTGTGCGTGGGTAGCGTCTCCGCTGCAGCCGGCGCCTGCCACGAGAGGATGAGTCACGTGGTGGGATGCTAGGCGGCGCCGGCTGGGGCAGCAGGGGCTCACTGGCGTCTGGTTCCTCCGGTGCCAGGCCGGGTAGATCGTGGTTGGAGGAGGCCGTCATGGCAGACACCAGCGCCATCTCGACGTAGTGTTCCACCGCGCCGTGCGCCGCCCGGCTGCCGGACAGAGTGTGGAGGCTGGGGAGAGAGCAGGTGAGCCGCGCCGGGTCTCGGCGAGCCGCCGCCGCCGCCTGGTGGGCCGCCCGGCTGGACATGAGCCGAGTCTGCGACAGCCGCGCCTCTGGCGGCGACAGCAGGAACTTCATCGGGCTCGGACTCGGGCTAGGGGGCGTGCGAACTCGCGGCACCTGGAAAGACGGACGCGCTTGTCAGCGTCCTGATAAAAAGCTGCCGAGTGACCTGGACACCGGCACATATGGGTTAAAATCCTCTGTTGAACTTGTGTCTCATAATATGATGTGTCGGCCCGCGGCCGTATTACAAAAGTCATGAATCAGCAAATGCACCTGGACCTCTGCTCACTGAATAGTATGGAATTCGGTAAGCTCGCCTTCGAACATGAATCATGACAGGAGCATGTCCAAGAGGCATTGTGAATTTATGATTGATCGGTTGTATCAGAAAGATGTCAGAAATGACATGCGATCAGTTTCTCTATGTGCATTGTGTTCATTGTTTGCGTAATGTGGGTCATCTTGATATTGTCGATCGCCGCACGCGAAACGACGCTAACAACAGTTGCTAAGACAAAGCAGGGACGAGCTGCAGGTGTCTGGGTACATGAACCGGATGTCTGAGCGAAATACCAGTCTATGTCCAAGTGTAGTTGGATTAGGTGCCCGAGACAGAATCCGGTATATACGCACGAAATGATATAGGACAAGCGGACCGTGCGAACCTGAAGCACTGTATGATTTTAACCATGATTTACGGACGTTTGTCGATACCAAAAGAAAAATATTGGCGCGGCAAGGTTCATCACAACGAAAACGATGACAACAGACATCATCCAAACCTTGCATCGTTTGGGGACCGAGGTCAACCGACAACCATGCGCCTTATTGTTTACCATAAACCCATTGCAGTACGTGGAAAGACATTCAACCATGAACTATCGCTGTTTCACCTTCCCCATCTTCGGCAAATTCTCATTTTTAGCTTCGGCTTGGCCGGTTGGTTTTAAGACATAGAAGTTATCGTTAACTTCTTAAGCTGGCTTATGAGCTATAGATCTTCGCGAGAAAAAAAAAATCGTGTGCGCCATGAGAGACGCAGCGACTAATCATCGGTAATCTGCATGCCTCAAGTCAAACGATGACTTCTGAGGTCGGGTCAAACGGCGCAAGGTAGGGGTCCAGTTTGTGGTGGATTGTGTCCAGCCGACCTCCTCCACAATATGCATATAATTGGACTCCATTGTGCCCGACAAATGCGATGGTATCAGAACCGAAGCCCTGCGACCATTTTTGCCGAGATTGTTTCTAAAAACCGGACCCCGACCCTTAATTGGGTCGTTGACCTGAGGCCAGAAATCATCGGGCGACCGAAGATCTAAAACTCTAGCACCATATGCGCAGTCTGGTAACGGCAACGCACTTGTTTTATCCTCTGAAGCTCTAGCGCGTTTAGAGGAGAAACGATGAGGAGCATTGCACGCCTTTCATCTCGTTCTGTCTGTGTGAGAAAGCCTATAGACTCGACGCTAAAGCTTAACTGATGGCTACTCTGAAATGAATATGTGTCTGACAATTCCAAAAACGTAGGAGTATGTTGCTAATTGTTACCGACCCGTGTCCCGCCTGGGCTAACAGAATCCTTCCAGGGTTCGGATCACGTCACCGCTTTAGTGATGAACCGTAATCGTTATGAATATTTTCACAGCGGATCCTTATACCGTCGGGGAATGCGATCATACTGATCGATTTTCCCCAGACGGCATTTAGCGTAACGGTAGCTGACCTCTAAAACCAGCTACATCCGTATGTCTCCTGGCCTTTTTAGGAACAGGGGAAGTTTCTCAGTCGTATTCTGCGGGCACATTTCCTTTCCTCAATCAATTGCAGCGTCATCGATGACGTAGTGGTGGCACTTACAGTGGCAGATTTTAGGTAAAAGTGTCTGTTTTATGACTTGCACCCGTTGCACTTGGCTTTGAACTGTTCCAAACTGACACATGTAATGTGGGTGTATACTGTCTCGCCGAGGAATTAGCCCACTCGCTTTGGGGCGATTTTTTCATCAAACATCCTTAATTCCACAGCGATCACTAACGGTCAGATGTTATCACATGGACGCGCAAAACCCCCGGTCTGCAGTTGATAAAAAAACGCAATGCTGGTGTCTGTATAAAGCTACGCATTCACTTCAGGCCACTGCGAGAAAGATGTGTCCAGTTCGACAGGACTGTGAAAATTAAGAAAACTTTTTTCATTCAATGGTTTAATTCTATTATTTATCATCTTAAAGGGACTATCCCACCTTCTAAAATGTTGTTAAAACCAGTTAAATTGTGCCCGACTTTATAGATTGGATAACCAGGAACATGGTTCTGGCATTTATTTTTCATTAAACATCTTAGGCTTCCCATATTCCAAACACAAACTTTCAAATATGTGACGTCACAGCCCAAAATTACCTCCTTCCCCAGGCCACATTACTGTCATAAAGCTGATTCTTTTTACTCTGTAGGCACCACAACAAAGTTCAGACCAAGTTTTAAGCGATTTTTCAACGAACAAACCCATTTAAATCAGAATGACTAAACGAGGTGACGTCACACTAACGGTCGCTCCATGTTGAAGATAGGGCCTTGTACAAGACCCATTTTCAAATGAAGGGAACGAATTTCTTCAACACCAAGAGGCCGCGGGGGTTGCAACCTAGATAGATAGTGGTTTCTGAACCTCGCCGCAAACTTGGCTATCTCAACTCAAAGTTCAAACCCCATGTTAAAGGTGGGATAGTCCCTTTAACTAATTTCTTGCAGAAGCGCATTTTTATTCAATTATGATCCGTAATAATTGCTGCACCACAAGCACACAGATTAACGTGACACCATATATAAAGCGGAAAAAATATTAGGCCTCGCCGATCCAAGGGGGCGCAACCCCACCAAATGGGTGCCTGAACCCCTCCGTAGTTTTTTTTCGCAATAGCTCGAAAAGAACAGGGATAGGGAGCTGAAAACTGGCATATCCTGACCGTTGATTCAAGCCGTGCCTTGCTTTGGGGTACCGTAAAGTGGGGCTATTTGAAACGGATTTTACTGTTTTTGGCCTCTCCCTTCAAAACGGTTGATATTTCCTATAGCATGTAAATTGCAAAAACGTAGTTCACTGTAACCGCTTTCAGATAGGTCAATTTTGGTTCAGCTAGTAACCATAAATAAAGTTAGTTTTTTACTTGAAGCCTGTTTCAAATAGCCCCATAGTGTGGGGCTATTTGAGACAGTTTTAGTTGCAAGGAAATTGAAGAAAATTGGTCAAGCTAGGGATAATTCTTTTAATGCCATGCGATTGGAAATTAAATTTTGATACTTATGGCAAAAAGTATTTCTTTCAACCACTGCTATATAACCCTTATAATCAAATTTTTCGTTTTTCGTTGGACACGGCATTTCGGTCTGCTAAAAAATTGCATTACTTTATGCTAGGGCTGTCATAATATGATGTGATCCTAAGCTCTAAAAATCACAGGATGATTAACTAGGACTATTTCTAAGATAAGCGATAGTGAAATTTTCAAATAAAATTGTTGTGTTTGTATCTGGCGGCGTAAAACATATAGGCCGAAAGTTGGTGGGGCTATTTGAGACAGGCTCGCTACTGCATTAAACGCACCGTAATGCATTAAAAAGGGGAAAGCCGAGTTTCCAAAATGGTTGAATGAATGATATGCATGATCAATTGTTCCATTGCACATCAGCCTGTGAAGAATTAACAGAAAAAGGTTAAACGGTTTTGATTTTATATCGATTTTCCTAGATCACTGTATGTTGTATCGAATGGCCGGTTACCGCACCGCATCAAGTACGTATACTGAAGGCTAACCTAACAGTAAGTATGTATGATAAATAACCTTCAATGGTGCTTATGGTCAACCAGAGTAAACATGGGTCGATTACCGACCACGTCAGTGACTGATGAAACACATTCTATGCACATTGCACAATGCACATATGCTATCGTCACAAACTGGATGGTCGTATTAAGTTACAACTTACCTTGCTGCTAACAGTGCCATGAACCATGGCCGATTCATCGGTGTTCCTTAGGTAGAACGTTTGATACACCTTAGGCAGATGGCGGTAAGTCTTTAGGATGCATCATATCACCTGTTTTAGGGCCTTGGCATCACAATCATCAGCTGTATTTGGTATACGTTGAGGTTTGACGAGGTGGGTATCATCGGGATTCTGAGACATCGGGTTACACAACTGTCACTACCGCTAACAATATCTAATGTCTTCATGTAATATGTGCTTAGCCCATAAGTAATCCGATAGTTACGATAGATTCGGTTGCGAAGTTTTTAAACTTCAACCATGTTAAGCTGCAGGTAGGGGTGCTTTTCGTATAACTTAAATTGTGGTTTTTCTGTATTTCTCATTTGATGCCAAATTTCTTTCAAAAATTTTCAAAAATTCTCAAAAATCCTATCCATGGAATTCGTGTTAAATTCCACATCAGCTTGAGCAAAAATTGATAAGAAATATCAAACGGTTTTAATTTTACAGCAATTTTACTAAGCCACTGCCGTACTGTCTCAAATAGCCCCACTGTCTCAAATAGCCCCACTGTCTCAAATAGCCCCACTTTACGGTACTTGACCTGACCACATGTCACCGGTTGACCTGATACCTTAAAATTGGGTACCGTAGTGGCACACACGCTCGTTTTATTCGCCAGGCTCTAACCTAATAAATGGCGAAACGGCGAGGAGGGTTGTACACCCCTCCCCCATCCTCCATTCGGCCGGGGCTTATGTAGGAGACCAATAGGTCCGGTGAGGCCTGAGGGTTTGAGTCACGAAAAAAGTTCAGTCGCTACCCACCAAATCAAATTAAAAGCCATGGAAGATCAAGCAAAGGGTTTCATCGCTCCGTTTTCAAATCATCATTTGAAGCTTAATTGCCTTTCGGCTTAAAGGTAGTGTGCCACCTTTGAAAGATTTCCCGTTTTATTTTTCCTAGGATAAGAAGCTTCTGTTTTTACCTAATATCGCAAAAAAATCAAAAATGGGCCTGGAATAGTGCCTTTTTCGCCTAAAAGTTTATCGGTTTTTAGATATGTATAACAACTGTAGTGGGCTCACCTGCAAACAGGCGTCGGGCAACAATCGCGAATGCGGCGCACTTGTGACAATAAGCAAAGGTCATTATAGTGTTACGACCATACGACGTACGGGAATGAGTTATCAGCTGTCTAATCGTAGACAACACAATGTCGAGCCTTAAACTGTAAGCCTGTATTGGTATTGTTTCTTAAATTTGGCTGTCGAACATTAATTTGTGGTTTGAAATATGATTTTATGTAAAATAATTGATATGAAACAGCCGTCTCTTAATTTATGACCCCATTACACCACACGCAAGTGGCAGAAATGACAATGATCAGCTGACGCATTTTTCTTGGCCGAAGTCAGAGCGCGCGGCCCGACGCACCACGCGTATTTGGAAATTCCGACCTCGACGAGCATCAGAAGCCACCTAACAGGTGTGTTCGAAACCGCAAGAGATGATGATGAACGGGTTTATCGAAACTTGATTGGATGAGCATATCGGTAATAGCGATTTTAGTGTGTGCATTTATTGTTCATAGTGGTGTGAAATGTGGTTGGGGTACGACCGACAACCCGTCGGGGCGAATTTCGCACTGGGGTACTCAAAATTTGAAGAATTTAAGACGTTTCCATAAGTTTTGAAGGTATGGATAAGTTCTAAAAATCCGGTTCTCCTTATCCGGGTCATTAACTCCATATGGTCCAAGAAAGCTGGCACACTACCTTTAATTGATGCTTATTTTCATGTTAGCTTGGCTTCAAAAACAGGGTATAAGATATGTTCTGATATATTACAATTGTTACAATTCTACGCATTGTTCGCCAAAGGTGTGCAATACGTCAGATAATGACGTTACAGCTTCTGGTCGAGGGAAAACACCGCACGTGCAGACCCAGGGCAGATCCCGGCAGGTGATTGCGTGCTGCCGCAGCTCCAACACTGATAAAATGCGTTGGCGATCTATTCCGATCGCATACCAGCGTTGCTGGGCGACTCTGATCCGTTTTCCTGCCCAGTGGAAGACGGTCTTTCTTCGAGGATTTATATTTAAGGGTCCATCGATACTGCTATCAGTTGTCACTGTTCATCGTCCTCGGCAGTACCGGCACCACCATGAAGGTAATTCAGCTTCCGCGAGACCTAAAGATAGAGTACCGTACTTTCTTACTGCCACTTCACTCGCTTGGAGGAAATTTTAGCAGCTCATGTGTGCCATGTTATGTGCCATCGCCAAACGTATGCATATTTTACGAGCATAAAAAGATTTAACAATCATTATATTCCAATAATTACCTAATTTGTTAAGAGCAATCGAAATTATTGTGCAAATGCCTTCACCTAATTACCATAAGCATGGAATGTAAATGTGTTTCTCATCGATTATGTTTGGCTTAAATGCCTACAGAAGCAGTCATAAATATTTTCCTTTCTCCATTTCAGGTTTATATCGTTCTGGCTTTTCTCTCGCTGGTCCGAGCCGACAGTTTTTCCAAAAAGAACCAGACGAATGTCGGAGCTGCAGCGCAAACCGGGCCATCATCCGTGAACGGTGTCCCGAACTTTCTGGGCGCTCCCTTCGTCGGTCAGCATAATCTATTGCGAACACCAAACAGCCTTCAAGCCGGAATCCAGCTAACAAATAGTGCGTTTCAAGACGACGGCTCGACCAATAACGTGCTGAGAGGTGCTCGTCCTTCGCTGGATTTTCTCGCTCACAGACTTCACGGTAGTGACATCCTGTCTCGGCAGCTAGACGACCAGAAGCAGATCATCTTTGCACCGGGACCGGGTGCTCAAGGATCTGTCCCTCTGCCGGGACCTGTGCCGCTATCGGGGCCCCAGCAGGGCGTCAGCTCTGGATCGGGAGACGACGGAGGCACTTCCAGCCCCTCCACAGGCAACAAGGTCAACATACTTCCACCCGCGGTCGGTCACTTGAACGGCATTCTTCGTCCCGACTTCAGCAACAGGGTCCCTCAGATCCCCTCCGTAACTCCCGGTGATTTTTCTCGAGATAAGAAAAGTTTCAGCACATCTCAAGACGATGGCCTTTCCTTGGAGGAAGTGGGACAGGCGATCATCTCTGGTAGGGGAAGGAACGTTAGAGCTCCCTTTCCGAACCAAGGAAATCAGGTGCTTTTTACTAACCCTGGTCAGAACGTTATAAATTCGCAAAGCAGCTTCAATGTCGTCCACTCAAACGATGATGGTAATGTCGATGTGAAATCACATCAGCTCCCAAATCAAATCCCCAATCGTCCGACTCGTTACTTTCCAGCAGGCCCAGTGGGTCACCTGGGCTCCGTGGGTCCCCTAACACCTAGGGGTCCGCTGGTGAATTCAGCTCCGGTCATTGGTCGCCGACAGAGGGTGAGACCTGCCTTCAGACCGCGTTACTCCAAACCGGCAAGGTACGCTCCGAAGGCGTCCTATTACCACTCTGATGATTCCTACCTCTCTGGTGGCCTCTACCAGTCACCATTGGTCGGTCACCGCCGATTTAGTGGCCCTAGCCTCCGATACTCAGACCTTCACTCACTGCCGCTAGCGAGTTTTGATCCATTCTCGGGTCTCAACGATGACTTGTCGGCTCTACATATCGATTTGCCATTGTTGTGGTGAAGTCATGATCAGTGTGCGAGGTCAGTGCGAGCTGCTGTCTATTATGGTTTCACTAGTTGAAATTCATGATACTATGAGGTGTTTACTGTTCACTGTAACTTGAATATAGAATTGCACGTAAATGGACGGGTAATAATCGTGTATCATCATGTTGCTCGTAAAATAAACTATACCGACGAAACGCTTTTATAAAATGAACTGAAGCCTGAAAGCAGTTGACAGTATACAGGCTATGTAATCGAATCGGAATGGCAAAAGCAATGGCGTTTGACAAAGTGAGGTGCCCAATGCACACAAGATCACACCAAACATCATAACACCATCGCCTACTTAAGTGATTAGAAATTAGACCATAACGCCAACTTCTCTCATTTGATCCAACCGCAATGATTCCCATAACCCACCGTCACCTTCCCCAGTCTCTCGTCTCACCTGGCCCGCGTGGGGCAGCGGGAAGTGCCTCAGTTCCGCCATCTCCACCTCATCCTCTGTGTAGAACAGGGTCTCCGGAGCGGCCGGGTCCTTGGTCGCGCTACCGGCCAGCACGTGCCGTACACAGTGGCAGAGCGACACCACGCTGATGACGCAGAAAGCCGCCGCCACTGTGATGACGCCGACCGTGAAGGCGACGTCAGCCGGGCCGCCATCGGATGCTGGGGGAGGGGAACGTCAGTCGGGCCGAGATTACTAAAGAGCTGGGCCGCCATCTATGCTGTGGGGAGGAGAGGGAAGAGGAGCATATACGAGTACTCGTAAGTCGGGCTGATGCTGTGGAAGTGGATGTACTGAAGATTGTCAGCCGGGCTGCCACCATAGCCCTACGGAAGTATGATACGGGATAGGTGTGGACTGTGGCATCAGCAGCCTGGCTGCCTAGGACGCTGAATGGCAATCGATTGGGATTGGTGGTGGATATAAAGGACAATTTCGGTCGGATACGGGATAATTGCACATTTTTTTATTTTAAAGAACGTAACAGACGAAAGCGTAATGTTAGTGGCCGAGCTAGTATCGCAGTCTCCATCGACTAACTATTTTGGCATGCCGAAATGTTACAATACTGCTATTCAATTGGCCGATAAAATGAAGCTCACTGTCATACTTCGCGAAACATGCTACTCAGCAATGGAGGACTCGGAATTGATATGAGAGTCACGAATGGAGGGCCCTGAAAACTGACAGCAGAGGAGTGTTTGAATGAGGAAGTGGACGTCACTTGAATTTCTAGAAACGGATACGCTCCCAAACCGTCGGTGATGCAAAGGTTCAGCAAAGGCGTTAAGAGGTTACAAGTAGTTTAGCGGTAACAGGGAACACGCTGATTGCCCGTAAAGCAAAGCCTGATAACAATATGTTCATGCTTATCACACAAATAAATGCCAAATGGCCTTTTTATGTGCTGTGCTTGCCAGGTCCAGGATAAAAATCCATGCTAACGGTTGTTTATTTAAATGGTCAGCTTTGAGTCATCTACCTTATATCTTATTTCTATAAAAGTTTAGGTAGATATAACGGACGCCGGTGAAAACAGGGCGCCGGAGGGCATATTAGTCACGTGACATTTGGAACTTCTCCCCCTTTGTCGGCCTTCTACATGCCAAACGTCACGTGTAAATTTCACGAACCTAGATCAAATCGCCCCAGGCGCCCTGTTTTCACCGTCGTCCGATATAACATATACCTGGGAAGTGCCGTAAGCCCAACATAAGCAAGGAGCATAAGAGCACAATCTGGGCAGCAATTACGTCCCGTAAGCGAGTCAAAGAACAAGTTCCCTGCGGCACTGCCACTTACCATGACTGGAGCAGTTGACCGCTGGCTCAGGCGCCGCTGCACTGGCCATCGAGCTCGTCTCGGGTATGAAGATCATGCCGCCGGGTCCGCCATGGCACCCGCACGCAGCGCACAGACACCCCTCGCCCCACCGGCGCTCGTCAATGCCCGGTCACTAAACGGGCGGTGTCACGGCGGTGTATGCCAGCCCGGCCGGCCCTGACCTTGGCCAGCCAGCTGACTGACCCGACCCGACCCGGCGCCCCTCCCCTCACCCCGTCCAATACCCCATCTCAATGCCGCCCTGTGCGTGACATGTCTGCTGACTGTTGACAAAAGGGAGGTTTGTAGCCGACCGGAATTCGTCCGAATATTTGATTTGATATACGCATGCATCACTGGAAGAGAATTGTTTTTCGAAATTTCCTAAAGTCTATCTCCGCGTTTGCAGTCTCTCGGTCGACGAAGATTCTACGTCGTCCTGCCAATAGCGTTCGATAACCGCGGCCCAGCCCCCGCCGACTTCGAACGGGATTGGCCGGACGACGTAGAATTTTCGTCGTCCGGGATACTGCGAGCGCGGGGTATGATTCCATGACCAGAATTAAACAATAGCTAGGCTTGTAAAGCACTTGTCTAATGAAACACGTTATTTTGGGGTTATGTCAGGAACGATAAGTCAAGATAAACCTTAAGTTTTCATTACATGATTAATTTCCACTAGTCAAATGCCATGGTAAAATTCAATGTTATTTTGTTCCCTTGAACTTGCGTTTGATAGCCTTGTGATTTCACTTTTCAATGTGAATGCAGCTTCAAGGGCAAACAAGAAATGTTTTGTATGTGAACTAGCTGGAAATTCACATTCAGCATTTCTTCCGTCGTCTTCGGCTTATCTGCGCTAGCCATCTCTTCCCTTCTCAGTCACGAGTGTCAGATGTTGCTAGATGCTTATAACTGCTGATGCTGTGTGGATTATCGGCCGTCCTATCCAGAATCGTGTGCAGCCGCTGCGCGAGCGGCGAGAGTCGTCAATGGGAGAGACGTGACGTCACACTGCGTCGCACGATGTCCCACGACGCACCGTTTGAGGGTCAGACCGTGGAATAATGTAGGTACAGATTTTCTGTGGTACGAAACAGGCGAGCTTGCAGTAAAAATCGGTACCGCCAGTTTTATTGGAGATATGCTCATATTCACCAAGGAATGAAAGCAGGTGGGTTATGAATGGGCCATGGAAGTCTCAGAATGCAGATTGCTTGACGCTGGAGGGCATCGAACTCATTCCGGATTAGATCAATGGGTGAGTGGAAGCGATAATTGATAAAAGTTGATTGAATTGAGATTGCATTCGTGCAATGGGTCGACAACATCTAGCAGGGTGTGCAAAGCATCACAGTATTTTGCTCATGCTGCTCCAACATTTTCCTTTACCACTAGGAAGTAAACCAGTTTCGATAACCAAAGTTTTAATCACCGAAACGAAAGTGATCACTGATCAGCTATGCTAGAAGGACCTGACCGGTATGCAGTTGCATAGTGCATGCCTATCCTTAAATCAGCAAATTTCACAATCCATGAATAGTTTGCATGACGTAATTGCCCACAGAAGCTATTGCTAAAGTATGATGCGCATTTTTATAAACCGAATAATGTCATTAGGTGTCACTAAGACGAATATGCTTTCTCCCTTGGTAACCGAGAATCGCCACCAGCTTCAGGTAAACTGCGAAAAGAATGCAGTCAGCGCTAGACCAAGACAAAGGGCTACCTCACAATTGTGCTCTGAGTTGACTGATGCTAAAACAGGTAGGTAATGTAACTATTACTGCTCAGTGTAAAGTTTGCAGTTTTCTGTTCAGCGCTGTTGAAATGGTGTATTCAATATATTTCTACCCTATCGATCCTTCTTAGCAGAAAAGGCCTAAATGTCGTGCCAGAACATTATCTGCAGAGACAACCGTTACGCTGTCGGTCATCAAGTCGCGCATTCTTCCAGCGCTAAGCCCAAGCCGACAGTCACGAGCAGCTCCGAAAGTACGAGTTTTGTCGGTCTTTGGGTCACGAGTATACGGCCGTCTACGGAAGAAGTGCTTCACTGATGATCGAGCCGTGGAGTCGAGAGATTTAGCGACGGTGGTAACTGTTAGAGTAGAGAGAGAGAGAGAGAGAGAGAGAGAGAGAGAGAGAGAGAGAGAGAGAGAGAGAGAGAGAGAGAGAGAGAGAGAGAGAGAGAGAGAGAGAGAGAGAGAGAGAGAGAGAGAGAGAGAGAGAGAGAGAGAGAGAGAGAGAGAGAGAGAGAGAGAGAGAGAGAGAGAGAGAGAGAGAGAGAGAGAGAGAGAGAGAGAGAGAGAGAGAGAGAGAGAGAGAGAGAGAGAGAGAGAGAGGTTGTGGAGCTTTCAGGGAGAGTTCAGCGATAGAATAAGTGGAATAGCCGGAAAAGGGAAGATGCCACCAGGGGGAAAACCCAAAAAAACGTCCTGAGGTCCTGTGCGACAAGCTTTCTATCGCGCGAGCTGCATAGACAGTAAAGTTATCCGTAAGATATGCCTGTTATTCTGTGACGTTGAATCCGGTTTCACACAGGGATTAGTAACATGTTACAGAGAAATGATGATGTTATTACATTCAGGTGGTTTGTGCGCAAACATGACTTCCCAGGTTTCGAAATGAGCATATGTCGCAGGAATTAGACCCAGCGCTTATTACTGTCCTATGTAAGTTAGATTTGCTGAGCTATGTATGAAGTAATGGCTGACATTTTTGTAACAATTTATCTATCTTTAGAAGATTTTTTTTATTGATTCATGTTATTCAATGTTCATCATCCAAAGGCAAGCTGTAAAAGAAGGCAAACACGGCTTGGAGGTTTTTGGTGGGAAACAACTGCGTCTTTGTTATAACGAAGGCTCTCACAGGCGCGTACGCGTATGGACACTACGCACTATGCATGCGTGTCGAACCCGTTTTATCCATTTCTTCGTCGACAAATTCTTCAATATATTGGAACATCAATCAAGTGAATACTCGTATCAGCGGCACAGGATTCCCACGTATGCCACGTTGGTGAGCTATAAACCATCGTACACGCAGCTCCTGGACACCACTCACGCACACACACGAACACGCACGCACGCAACGCACATCAAGTTTGTAATTGAATTATCGTCAGGAATGGTACCGTGTCGAACGTTCGTTGTATCGTCACTTTTGTAGATGGTATAGCGCGGTGAGCAACCAAGGAGCTGTCACTTTTAACCAACGAGTTGGTGATTGTAAATTGATCGTATCTTTCATCCGTTATCAAAGAAACCGGTTTGCGAATAGCGGTGCGAGTCTGCAGACGTCACTGAACGTGGAAGAACACAGGTACTGCACCCTCAGCATGACTTTAATAAATGAAATGATAACTTACGATAAGAAATCTTAAACCATTTTCATTGCCTATCACTTTTTGGTGTGCAATGTTATCAAAATGTTAAACAATTACCAATTTTGAAAAATGAGAATACTGCATAGCTTGATTATGAATTTCTGTAAATTTCTTTTTTCACATTTTTTCACAGTGTGTTTTTTAATCATACTTCGGAGTTGAGTTCAAAAATGGCTCAAGCAAACACGCCCTTTGGAGCTAGAGACGGAACGCTGTTTCGGCTTCATGATTCGAATCGGACAAGCTTGCAATTGCATCATAGCATCCCTGTTTTATTGGTATCTTCGGTTCCTGTTATCAATTCGACAGACATCGTCTATTGCGCTGCATAACTGAACTCTAACATACTTGTGAAGGTGCTCTTCTCCCTCTCTCTCTCTCTCCCTCTCTCTCTCCCTCTCTCTTTCTCTCTCTCTCTCTCTCTCTCTCTCTCTCTCTCTCTCTCTCTCTCTCTCTCTCTCTCTCTCTCTCTATTTTTTTCTCTCTCTCCACCTATCTATCTCTTTATCTCTCTGATCTCTCCCTCTCTCCCTCCCTCCCTCTCTCTCTCTCTATCTCTCTCCCTCCCCCTCTCTCTCTCTCTCTCTCTCTCTCTCTCTCTCTCTCTCTCTCTCTCTCTCTCTCTCTCTCTCTAGTCTTTGTGATTAACACCATTTATAATAACCTAATGAGCACCCATGCTCGTTTAGTGAGAGACAAATCCCGGATAGTTTCTACTCGCAGATAAGCATAAAGAGACATGTATTTTACTTCCTGCTAGTATATTTAGACAAATAATTGAGTCTTATAGCCCTTAGAAAAACACTAGCCGCCGTTTCGTTCTAAAAAAAATATGTTGCTTGAGACGGCAAGCAGTCAAATGAAAGCAGCTTGCAGTGCATGAGTAAAAATGCAGTATGTGTTAATCACATTGTGCACAACAGTTATAAATACAAAACAAACAGTGATCAAGCCCCACCCACTCCGTTTTGCGATACGTGTACGACTGTGGTAAACCGACCAGCTCGAATAATGACGGGAACGGCTCGATATCAAAAGGATTAAACTGAGAGGGGAAAGACCACCAGAAATATGAAAGCTCACCATTTTCTCAACGTTATAGAAGGGCCATTACATAACACATACAAACAAACTAACCGTTACCAGATTCAATGTGGCTACCATTACAATAACGAATTTTAGCGATGGTAATAATGCTACAGCCACAGGTTAAGTATTGAAGGGCTCTCCGGCTCAATTCTCTGGCAAAATTTCCAGGCAGGACCACCGCGGGCTCAATGAGGACCACCTGTACTTACCAGAACACCAAAACTCCGCAATCGGAGACGATTCTCTGCAGCTGCGTCGGCCAATGATGCGGCCAAACCGGTTACGTGGAGATCGGTCAAAAGCGGCGTCCACTCGAAGGGACCGGTCCAGTGCTCCTGGGGCCGGTGCTGCTAAACGAACCGTCATCGGCAGTCTGGCTGGTCTAGTGATCCGCACTGAGGTGATAAGATGAAGGTAAGCAGGTGTAGGGGTTTCTTGGTGCGAGGGGAAAGAGTTATTCATGGGAAGATGGAATTAGACTTTATCGTTTAGCAGTCTAAGGAAACTCATGGAAATATGCAAGGAAGAGGAGCCAAAACAAGCGTTAAATGCTTGTCTATGTTTATTTTACGTTCGCGTATTACTTCGGTAGTTGCATGCTTATACACGTGCTTATCGAATACAGTTGAATTTGTTATGTAAAAGGCTCAGCTAAAAAGTTATTAAGTTTAAGAAGCTACAAAGTTAAAACAAGCTAATAAAAGGCTACTTTATTTTGGTAGAAAGATAGGTATGTGTCAAA